CTTAAATTTAGTTCACAGGCTAGCAAGGCTTTATAAATTCAGATATATATATTATATGTTATAAAAGATCTTTTCTTCGATGCATTACAAAACATTGATGCTCTGTAGAAGGGTATAAAAACCGAGCCGATAATATTATATAAATAATATATAAAGCAAAGCTATATAATAGAAGAGTATAAAAAATAATTTTTGTGACTAGCTAAAGCAAAATGTGATGAACGAATGCTAAGATGTGGAAAGACTTGGTATGTAGGTAAGACTTAACATAATGGCATAACATAACGTGGCATAACATAACATGGCATAACAATTCAGCTGTAAAGTTGCTTGCAAATATGTACGCTCTTCTTGGTAACATTTTTGGAATATCTTCCGAATTTTATAGTTTAGTAGGCATTAAACGAAATTTTGTTGATACTAATTTCGAATTGTTCCATGTCGAACTAATTATTACTTTTGGTAAACGAATGTGAAACTTTCCTTTTAAAATTATCTGTTGGTAAAAAAAAACAGGACAAAAATTACGGAAGTGCATTAGAATTATACGCAAAATTTTTGTAAATGTTAATTCCGGCCGCCTACAAATCGAATACCGAACCCACGTCCATAGAAGTGTCCCCGGACGGCCAAGAGCGGGCCGTGTCAATGGGGAAGCAATCGGAGGGGGATAACACAAGCGGGAAAAGTGTCAAGACCTTGGCGCAGAACAGCTATATAAGCATTCACCAACGGGCATCCTTACCGCTGGCCGTTATCTCCAAAGGTCTACCTTCAAGCGAAGCCAACAGCAACAACAACAGCAACGACTGCACCGAAGATGATGACGAGCTGACGCTCAGCGACGGCGATCAGTTCGGCTCCGTGGACGACGACGAGGAGGAGCAGCAGCAGGCGTGCACGCCGAAAAGGCGGATCACCTCGCAGGGCGATGAGATGGGTGCCAAGCTGAAGCACGAGCTCTCCAAGTACAAGCAGGAGCTCAAGGAGTACAATGAGACCACCAAGGATCTGGAGAAAAAGTACATGAAGATCAACTATGAGCTAAGCGAAATGCAGCAGAAGCACGATCATTTTGTCGGCCGACGCAGCCAGAGTCCCGATTTGGAGCTGCCCAGCGAAGCGGATGCGGATGGGGATGGGGATGCCGATGGAAGCGTACTCGACAGCTACTGTCCCTCGACCAGCAGCATCGGATCGGAGCTGACGGTCAAGAGCAAGAGCACCAAGGTATTCCGCAGCAATTCGAGCTTCATGACGGTGCTGGCTGCACCCAGTTCCTGCGAGGAGCTGACGACGCGGCAGAAGCACAAGGAGCTGCGGCAACCCAAGATCAGGCATAATCTTACCGCCCAGGTGGAGGTCGGTGGATATGGCCAGCATATCGTGTCCAGTCGGCATACACGACGTGCCCTGCGGGCACCCTCCGACCATCTGGAGGAGCAGGAGAATGAGCCGAACTCGTTCAAGCAAATGTACCATGTGCTCAAGGATGTGATGAACACGCAGCAGCAGCAGCAGCAGCAACAACAGCAGCAGCAGCTGCAGGAGCACAAGCCAAAGTATGGCTACGAGCGCGGCAGCGGCGAGTTCAGCCAGCTGTACACGACCATCAAGGATCTGAGGACCGAGCAGTTGCAGTTCCGTAACATCATACGGCATCAGCAGGATCGCATCACGGACTATCATACGCGCTGCGTGAAGGCGCAGGAGATAATGAAGACGCAAAAGCACGAGATTGACAAGCTGCACGTGAACAATAAGCAGCTGGAGTCGAGCATCTATCACGATATCGATAGCCTGCGCTCGAAGATCGACAGCAAGCTGAAGAGCGTCGCCCAGCTGCCGCATCTGATGCGCGAGGAGCACACCAAATACGAGAAGGTGCTGCGCGAGAACTGTCTCATGGCCGAGAAGCTGCACGCCCTCCAGAAGGAGGCCGCCCAGCTGAAGTGCAAGATCGATGAGCTGGGCAAGCGCAAGCTGATCACGGTCAATCGCCTCAAGGCAGCGGAGCGGGACCTAAAGATTTTCAAAAACTACAATGCGGCGCTCAAAACGGAAAAGCGCCGCCTCGCCGAAGAGTTGTCCACATCGAAAATGCAGCTGGACTCGCTGCAGGCAGCCGGCAAGCGGCAGCTGTCGCGGCATCGCGAGCAAACGGAGAAGCAGCGCCGGGAGCTGCAGAAGCGCATCTTTGATCTGGAGCTGAAGCTAAGCCGCAGCCAAAACTCCACATCCAGTCTCATCCAGGAGCGCGACAGCCTCATTGCCGAGCTGCAGACCCAGCTGCACACGCTGGTCCACAACTTCGAGGTCTCCCAGAAGCACATACGCGTGCTGCGCCGCCACATCTACACCATGACCTCGGGCGGCTCCGTTGGCAGCACACTCGGCTCTGGCTGTGCACCGGGCAGCGGCTCCAGCCCCCAACGATCCTGTCCCGGCAGCGAACAGAATGTAATGCGGACCAGCCAACAGAGCCAGCCGTCCAGCCCTTGCGTCACACGGCTGAGTACTCCACGCACGCTGAAGAGCAGAGCCTAGGGATCCTAGGGCACCGTCAGGCACCGTCTCTGTTAAGCGGTTCAAGCAACTTGAGGATATGGCCAGGATCAGCTAAACGTGATCTGTATAGTTCACTGATTCCTGGGCCATATCATCAAGTTGCTTGCACGCTACATTTGCAGACTTGCAGACTGTCCCGTGTGCGGCAATAAGTGTGTCCATCCCATTCATTTTCATCTGTGTTGTTTCTATTGATTTTAATCAAATTTTCGTTCATAAATTGTGTTGCAAATTAATCATGATTTTAAGTTTACAATTTTCATATTTTTATTGTTTAGAGAACTTGACAAAAAGTGGCAATTCCTCTTAGATAATGTTTGCTAAGTGAGTCGAATATCCTCAGGATAATATTTAGGTTAAGTGATATATTAGCCATGATCCAGTAATAGTTAATTCAATTCAAATGTTTTTTTTAATAGTTTTGATCCATTTTCGGATTTTTTCATTTCGATCATATTAATTATGAATATAAATATAATTACAAAATATTAGCATTAAGAAACTTTGAGCATATCGTAAACCAGCTAAGTTTTTATTCCTGGCTATAATTTTATACCCTAGACATGGCTAAAATATAGTAAAATGAGTTAATAACTTTTGATTTGTCAATTTACCAAAATATCAATAAAAATGGTTCTTGAGACTTGTTTTTTAAAGCATAACTCCAAAATATTAGGCGTAGATACCCCCAGCAAGCTCTCGTATTGTATGCACAGATAAGAAATATTTAACATTTTGGATATCTCCCCTAGTTTTCCACAAAATTTAAAGGGCTTTAAACTTGTGAGTTGTTATCTTGACATAATTATGCCCTTTAAATTTCATTTAGATCGGACAACAAACATAGAAGTTATTCAACATTAAAGCAGCTGAGCATGGCCAAAATCACAGGCATTGTGAGCTATATTTTATGACTAGCGGGTATAACCCGGCCTTGCCCGTGGAACGTATGTTAAAAATCAACGTTCTCAAAAAGCTTTGAAAATGATTTTGAAACTTATCGGACGGTAAACAAACAATTTTCATAGAAAAGTTTTCCGCCAATTTACCAATGTTGCGAGTGGAATTTCCCAAATCGCTGAAACACATATTCATTATATTCGTATGTAGAGCTTTGAAAATAAGTTTGAAGCAAATCGGACACAACTTAAAACTTCGCCCAAAAAATCTTTAAATCGCATTCCCTCCGAAAAAGTTTGGATTCTGCGAAAAGTGTGAAATACGTCTCAAATGATTTTTTTTATAGATCTTTGGAAACGAATTTGAACACAAAACGTCATCCACCAAATCTTTGACCTCCATTTGCACCAAGGAGGACCGGATTTTTCGAAAAGTGTGAAACACCCCTCAAATGAATTTGAACAAAGATCTTTGAAAATAAGTTTGGGGCCGATCGGATCGTAAACAAAAAACTTTCATACAACCGTTTTCCGCTAAGTTACCACTGTTACGGGTGGAATTTCTCAAATCGCTAAAATACGTATTTATTAAGTTCTTATGTAGAGCTTTGAAAATAAGTTTGAAGCTAATCGGACACAACTTAAAACTTCGCCCAAAAAATCTTTAAATTGCATTCCCTCCGAAGAAGTTTGAATTCTGCGAAAACTGTGAAACACGTCTCAAATGATTTTTCTTATAGATCTCTGAAAATGAATTTGAGCGCGAAACGTCACCCACCAAATCTTTGACCTCCATTTCCACCAAGGAGGAACGGATTTTCCTAAAAGTGTGAAACACCCCTCAAATGAATTTGAACAAAGATCTTTGAACATAAGTTTGAGGCCGATCGGATGGTAAACAAAAAAGTTACATACAAACGTTTTTCGCGATTTTTTCACACTTGCGGGTGGAATTTCCCGAAACCCCGTCTTAACGTGCACCTACATCACATAAGGTAACTACAGTGAAAATTTCAGCTTCCTAGCTCTTACGGTTTGGGCTGTGCGTTGATCACCAATCAGTCAGTCAGTCAGTCAGTCAGTCAGTCAGTCAGTCAGGACAAACAGTTTTATATATAGAGATTTGAAGAATTCAAATTTAAATCCATAATATTGTTCTCGCTATTAAATTAAAAATCCATAATATTGTATTCCACAGAGTGGAGAGTATTGGTAGAGAGTATTTTGTATTCGAGCACACTTTCAGTTTTTTATTTTAACCTCTTTTCTATTTTATAATATAGATCTTTCCAGAGTGAATGTGAATCACAATTTAACAGTCCAATATATCTGACATTATATATATTCTGGGAAGACATATCGGATAAAAAATTATATAAAAACGTTTTTAGCAATTTTCTTCACTAGTTTTTGTAATTCTCGAGAGTTATAAAAGAGTATAAAAGCTTAAGGTGGGCTCTGAACGAGTCATTCTGATGAGCAAGACTTATATTTATATATAAATATATATTTAATATAAATATATATACATATTTATATAAATATATATTTTTTTATATGGTATAGTATATAGTAAGGTAATACGATTTCAGGGCTATTTAGTCTGGAAGCGTGCAAAACTAATGTATTGACGTTTAGCTCATTGCAAAATAATTTGATCAAGTCATGTCTATATAAGTGTCAGATACACACGATCCATTGCGAGATCTTGGCAGTTACTGAAGCAATATTATAAAAGAATAACATGAAGTTCGCTGCATTTATTTTCCTAGTGTGCTGCGGTAATATTTGCCTTGGCGAGATCCTACATTTGGATGGTAAGTGATATCAGCTATCGAGCCAATCAATTTTGTTATTTTCTCATCTACTTCAAGAACGTTGCTATTTTCCGAACGCGGTGAAAGGCAGCTGCAACAAGAATCGTATAAAATATAGCTACTTTTCCAATTTGAATGCCTGTCATCCGTTTGTTTGGGGCGGTTGTAGGTCAGCAAGTATCGAAAATCGCTTCAATTCGCCGAAAGAGTGTGAAGTGTGCCGTTCGTGGATTAAGGTTTAAATTTTTGATTTCGGTTTGATTTACAATAAAGTGAAAACACGTCCCAAATGCTTTATATAAACATCCCTCAAAAATAGATTTTAGGGCGAAACATTATACACCAAAACATGACCACCCCGGTGAAATGGATTTTGCGAAAACTGTGAACAAAGATCTTTCAAAACGAGTTTCAAGCCGATCGGATGGTTAACAAAATGGTTTCATGCAACCTATTTTCACGATTTTTCCACAATTGCGGGCGGAATTTCCCACCTCTAACGCAATTTTGATATAGAGATACTGTATATCCTGCAGGTATATGTAAGCTTGAGAATCATGGAACTAATACAAAGTTTCTTGATTAACTTTAGCAAGTCGTCGAGCTATGATTAAAGAAGAATACACTTGAAAAAGTATTTATTAAAAAGAGACTATTTAAGTATGTTCCGAGCTAATGTTGAAGTGAGTGGGGATTTATTTATTTATTTATTTAAATCGGTTCGGGAGCAAAAATATATATATGTTTGTTGTTGTATTAAATGTCTGGAACCTATCTAGCGAGGCAAACTAAAAGTTATTAGAACTATAACTATTAAATCTTAAGCAAGCGGAACTGTGAATTCGATTTGTCTCACGAATCAAGCGATTAAAATGTACTTTCGTTTCATTTGATATTTATACAAGAAAGGAACTTAACAACTACGCAAAAGAGCTAACCATATTAAACAGATCAATTTCATACGAACGTTGGAAAACTCTTGAATTAATTTAAGAGTTGAAAATATTGAAAAAAAATCCTTTAAAAATATGTGTGTAGAAATCTTGAAGATCATTTCAATAATTGTATCTAAAGTTGTCCATCGCACAACATTTTCAAGGATTCTAGCTCTGATCTCATGCCAGATGCCAAGTGCTCAAACGATGATTAGTAATCAAAATTAAATTTGTAAATACATGCATAAATATATGTACTCAAATGCTGTGTAAACAAAATTCACAGATTCTCGAGAACTCTCGCCACACAGCTGATTGTTGCTGGACCGAAATCGCAAACGATTCTTCAGATACACACAGATCTATATATATATATAGAGAAGGTTTATATATAAACAATTTCCACAGCCACTTCGGACGCATGATTTTGAGTGGGAAAAGTGCGACGGGGTGGACGAGGGGGGCGGCACAATGTTGACAGCTGTGTGAGAAGTGCGCAGTGTGTGTGTGGAACTTATATAGGAAGCGCTGTCGGAGAGCGTCAACGGAATAGCTAAATATATAAAACCGAAACTGAACAACTGAGAAATCAGCATGTTTTCAATATTAACATGAGCACAGCCGGCGGCAACAGCGGGGGGGCGGGGCAGGCCACGAGCGTTGCCGCTGACCTGGCGCGCTCTTACTGAGCAGAGGCAAAGGTGCGACGCTGAGGCTTTTCCGCTTTTCCGCTTTTACCCCAGCACAGTTGAGTTTTCGCACGCGTCGCGAGCGGCTGCTAAACAAAGATGCGCCACGCTTCACTGATCCGCTGGCATGCCACCAGCCCGATGACGCACTGCAGCAGTAGAAGAACTTTTGGAGGCAGCTACGTGTTGCTGCTGCTGCTGCTGATGCACGTTCATTCATCTGCTGCTGCCGCTGCCGACGTCGATGAGCTGTGCCTGGTACGCGCCACACTGTATATCACAGCGCCGGAGGAGCGCAGCGATCAGGACTTTGGTCTGCCGCTGGACATCGATTGCGCCGGCAATGGCAGCAGCTCGACTGCAGCCTTTGACCTGGGCCCGCAGCGCGTGGCGGGCAAGTTGCACGTGCGGCTCAATGGCAGCCAGACGCCGCCGCTGGCCGTGGCCAGCTACGGCCTCGAGTATCTGGACAACTGTGCTCAGCTGCAGAGCATTGAGATCGAGCGTTTCGTTGTCGACGCCAGCCTGGCCCTGTGCTGCGACGCGGGCCTTCCGCTGGAGCGTGTGCGTGCGGTCGCCCTGCGCCGCAACGAGCTGGGCACGCTGAGCGGCAACAGCTTTGAGCTGGTGCCGCACGTGCAGCAGCTGTTGCTGGAGGACAACGCGCTGCGGCTGCTCGAAACGCTGCGGGGCTGCGGCGAGCTGCAGCAGCTGGTTATACGGCGGGAGCGGCAGCTGGCGCTGCGGCAGGGGCACGTTCTCGGCCAGCTGGGGCAGCTGCAGCGGCTGGAGCTGACACGGCTGAAGCTCGTCTCCGGCGACTTCCTGGAGGCGCTGCCCGGCGTGCTCACAGAGCTCGTGGTGCAAGAAACGCCCATAGAGCCGCGCCAGCTTCGGCTTGACAATGGCAGCGAGCAGCTGGTCAATCTCAGCCTGGTGCAGTGCGAGCTGAGTGGCTTTTCATTGGAGCCGTCGACGGCGATCCGGCTGCTGCATCTTAATCTGAGCGGCAATGCCCTGCGGCAGCTGCAACTGCTGAACAGCTCGCTGCTCAGCTTGGATCTGAGCGGGAATCATTTGAGCAGCTTGAACAGCAGCTGGTTCGCCCAGCTAAACCGGCTGCAAGCGCTGCATCTGCAGGGCAATCAATTGCATCGGTTGTCCTGGCAGCAGCTGCTGCAGCTGGCCATGCTCCGGCTGGTTCAGCTGGACTTGAGCTCCAATCGGCTGCTGCGCCTGGAGGACACGGAGCACGCTGCCTGGGAGCAGGCGCAACAGCTGCGCATACAAATCGACGACAATCCCTGGAGCTGTCAGTGGCTGCTCAACTTTTCGCATGCCCAGCCGCAGTTGTTTCGGCTGTTCCGCTACGCCAAGTACATATCCCAGATCAATGTGAATGGCCTCAGCTGCAGGCCAAAGCCGGAGGATCAAGCGATGGAGCCACCACTAACCACCAGCAGTCCACAATTGGCCCAGGACAATTGGACCCCGCGCAATGCCCACCTGAACGTCTCCAGCCATACGGTGCTCTATGGCAATCCCATTCAGCAGTCGCGCAGTCAGCGCGCCGAGGCGCTCATCATAGTCTTCATGCTGCCCCTGGGCATTGCGCTGCTCTTCCTGCTGCTCTACCTCTACCTGCACTGCGAGCGCCTGTTCCACTGGTCCTACTACTCGAGCGGACTGCCCTGCTTTGGCGGCAGCAAGTCGGCGCGCAGCCATCGCTTTGTGGATCACATTGATATCGTGCGCTATCCCATTGCCAATGGCAATAGCTCGGCCAGCATGGCTCTGGAGCTGGAGCCGCCGGCCGATGGCTATGAGACGCCGCTAAGTGGCGCCGCCTCCATTTGCAACTGCGCCGGTCACAGGCAATCCGCATGCTCGCGCACCCATCACGTCACCTATGAGGTAATGCCCACGGAGCTGCCCTACCAGCTGTACACAGAGATCAAGGAGCTGGCCGAAGGCGACGAAACGGATAAAACGCTCGATGAAATTCCCGCCGCCACGGCGCCCATTTATGAACCCTTGGATGAGAAGCCACTGGAGGTCTAGCAATTGTCATCAGGTAAGCAAAACATAGAAAGCAAGACTAGGAGATGCCCTGTACCCAGCATTAAAGTACCTTACATGTACATACTGTGCTTCTTCTCTTAACACCGCACAAGGGAAATGCATAAAAACTCAAAAAATTAAAAATCGATATTTATCGATTATATGGGTTTTTGATAGAAATCGGAAAATAGTTTCTAAAAACTGAAAGAATATGAATCTGTTTATACTGTACTAGTATCTACATACAAAAACCTAGGTTTAATAAGCCTCAAGTTTAAAAACTCAAAAAATAAAACTTGATATTTATCGATTATATGGGTTTTTGATTAAAAGAGGGAAAGAGAAAGAATCTGAATATGTGTATACAGTACCAGCATCTACATACCAAAGTCTAGGTTTAATAAACCCCAAGATATTTATAAAACTCAAAAAATAAAAATCGATATTTATCGGAACATATGTTTACTTTATGGCTGCCTTCTTCTGCCAGTTAAAAGCATTTTCACAAGGCCATAATACTCTTTTTTTAACAACTTCCAACGGGTACAGGGTATAAAGTATTTTATACAAAGAACTCGTATGATGGCTATCAGTACAATATTGGCGACTGTTTTAAGTGCCAGATGATCTAATCGGATGTGATTCACATTTACAAAATCGTTGCTTTATATCTTTTGTGCGTTTTAATTGCCAAGGTTCAGTTGGCTTCTATGAATATAGAAAATGTTAAAGGGGTCTATGAACTGAGATAAATGTATGTGGGAGGCAACTTCCCCGTAGTTATATAAACTCTTTAATAGGACTAAAAACAGTTCAATCTCAGAGACTGTTAAAGCCATAGGATTTAAATATAATATAAAGAATTTTGAGTTTAAAGAGTAAGCTTTTAAATGAAATTGTTATTTTCCAAAAAATCGATTAAGTATTGATTCTTGGCCTCAGCTATTGAAACATTTCAAATTATAGAAACAAGAATATCAAACATTTTTAATATTTCTTGCATATAAGCAACATTTTATCAATATGGTGTTAATATATTATATAGCTCTATTGGAAGAATCAGACGAATTAGTTTTTGTATTGCAAGATATTTTGACCAAACTCAGCAATTAGCATAGCTATAGTATAAAATTGGACTTATGGCAAGTATTTCTCTAATCTCATCAATTTAGTTATTTAATGTTAGGTATTGAATCTTCCCCTACTTTTCTTTTATGTTAATTATATTTTTATCTGATTTCAATTTCATTTTAATATTATTTTCGCTGTCACAAGCTAATATTATTTCAATTACTCAATTACTTTATAAAACACTATCGTTTCAGGTATACAAATTATCTATCGTGACAGCTGTTGGAAAAAGTCTCCACATGAAAATCTCTTCGATTGCTGTGCTCGACATTGGCAAGAATTATTAAGTTTGTATGTCTCGTTGTTGTTTGGTGTGTAATTTATCGCTAAGTCTTAAATTTAATTAAAATCTCTTTTATATCTATACATGCAACAGTTTTAGATTTTAGGAGCTAGCTGGCTTCTTGGATGCGACAACAATGCGGCGTATTATGTTGTGCGACTTTTTGGGAGGCTTTATGTCCTGGACAACAGGCTGCGCGTTCTCCTTGTTGCGCGGGGCCGGACTGCATTGGTCCTGGCTCACATTGTGTACGATGGGCTCATTGCTGCTAAATTGCACATACTTGTGTGTATCCTCGGCAAATAAATCGCGCCTTTTTGTTAGTATGGAGCGCACAGGACAGTGGACAGCTGCTTCCAGTTGGGGCGCAACGTCCACGGCACTTGACTTAACTCTAACTGGCGTGCCCTTCCGCATGGGTTTGGCTTCATAGATTCCGTCAATTTCAATGTGTTCTGCTTTGGGCTTGACTGGCGTGCCCTTGCGCTGTGGTTTGACGGGCGTGGACACATCTTGCTGCTCGTTCTCAAAGCGTTCGGCTTTAATTTGGCTTAATTTGATGGGCGTGCCCTTGCGCTGGGGCTTTGCAGGCACAAGCAGGTCAGCTGCTTGGTCTAGTTCCTCAGGCTCGTTTTTAGCCGACATCAGCTCCTGCTCACTTTTAACTTTAATATTTCCAAAATGTGGCTTGACTGGCGTGCCCTTCTTAATGGGCTTGGCAGCGACATTTAACGACTCGTTTACATCAGCATCATCTGTTTCGGTTTTGACTTGCAAGTGCTCCTCCCGCTGCTGAGCATCCGGTGGACAAACTGGTTGCTTCTCGGGTTTCTGCTCAATTTTAACGACAGGCTGAGATTCCTGCAGCGGATTAATCTTAAGTGGAGTGTCCAAAACGATGACTTCAGTTTGCAGATTGGAGCACACCGTGGTCGGTTTAAGTGGCGTATCTAGGACTATGACTTCAGATTCAGTTTTCACGTTGGCTAGACTGTCAACAGCTGCTGGTGTGGGCGTGACGCTGACAATGCGCGGCAAGGCTGCTTGTAGCTGGGCCTCCTTAATGTCAAACTCCATGGCCTGCATGGGCTTAAAGGTAATCTTGTGCTCCGACAGCAGGCTCTCGCGATCGATGAGCACGCAGCGCGACTTCAGGGACTCAAAGCGCCAGCTGTTAAACATCAAATATTAAAGCGGCTCGAAATTGAAACTGTTTGCACTTACCGTGCCATTTCCTGTTGCACATTGCGCATCTGCTCCTCAAGTGTGGCCTTTTGGATGTGCATGGTATGCAGTTGGGCCTTCAGCTCGTCCGTTTCGCGTCTAAATGGGATGGGAATGAAGTGAACTAAATCTAAACGCATCCTAACCTAAAGGGCAATCACAGCAAAAACATTCTGTAGCTGGTAAAGCTGAGCAATTGATTGCCAAGTTTTGCTACTACATGGCCCAAGCGTTCGGCTAACTCATACTTGCAAAAGTCCAAAATCGAATCAAGCCAAGTGACCGACTTCTCGCTGGCCAACTCGCGCAGACGCTCCTGCGATACGTTTAGATTGCGCTCCAGCTTAGCGTTCTGTTGCATCAACTGGCGAATGCGTTCGTTGAGCTTATCTGGAAAATGAATCAACCATAAGTTGGAGTTCAAAGGATACCATGAAATGTTGCTCACTCTGATAGGTCTTGTCGGCGCTGCAGAAGATCGTGCTGCACGCTTGGAGCTCGGTGTGCATGGCAATGTTCTCTCGCTTGAGTCGATGTATTTCGTATTTGCTTTCATTGAATATCTTTTTCATGTCCAAGTAGCTCTTCTTTTGGCTAGCCAGCAGTTGCTTCATGGCCTGCCGCTGATCGTCCACCTCGGCAAACAGAGAATTACCTTTGCGATCTGCAAGCGTCGAAAAAGTGATTAGGTCAAGTTTTAAGGATCATTCTGGACTTGTATATCAACCATTGTGTTCTGGTGCGCTCGTGAGCAGAGCTATTTTGGCATTGGCTTCCACCAGCTGTTCCTGCGCGCTCTCCAGCAGCTGCACCTTCTCCTCCAGCTCATCCCGCTTGCCGCGCAGATTCTGCTCCAGGCAGTCAATTTTATCCTTGAGTATCTCAATGGTTTTCTGCGCGTGGAATTAAACTATAGCAACAGCTAGATATAATCTTAAGACATACCTCCTGCTCTGCTACGGCAAAGGTATTTTTCACTTTGGCATCATCGTATTCGGCCAGCTTTTGCATTAGCTCAGCATTTTCTAGCTCCAACATATTCAAACGCGCGACGAATTCATCGTCTGCGCTGTTGGCTTTCAGCAAGGCATTCGCTTCCAAGTCGCGTGCTGCACTCTCCAGCTTTGCCTGGAGTTTGCCAGTTTCCTCTGCCTTGGCATCGTAATTCTGTTGCAAGGTTTCATGCTCCAGTTGTAGATTCCTGTATTTGCGCCGCAGATCCTCCAATTCCTGCTGCATGCGTGGCTCGTCGCTTGGGCAGGAAGCTTGCGCCTGTGCGCTGAGATGCTCCAGCTCCTGGGTTAGATATCGCTCAGCTGCCAAGGATGTATCAAGGCTGCGCTTGAGCTCGTGTAGACGTTGGGCATCCTCCTCGCTGTGCTCCTTCAACTGTCGATGGAGTTCCTTTAGATGCTCATGGCGACCATGCAGTATTTTGTACTCTTCGACAATGTCTTCGATGCTCAAAGCGCTTAAATCTAAGTTGTTGTACATTTTTAATACAGTTCTGAGAACGTTTTTTCTATCATGGGGCGTCGAATTTTTGAATTAATTGTGCAAAAGTGACGCTTACGCACAGATGCAAGTTAATTTAAATCGATAGTTTTTGGTAGCATATCGATTAATTAAGCTGCGTTCAGACTATACAGTTTTAAAATGATATTATTCAATCATACTATTTTGCATGGATACAAACTTTAATATTATTTCTTAAATCTCATATCATATTTTTATGGAATTTGTTTCTCTTTATCTGCGCAATCGATAAATACTGCAGCGTTAGCGTAGATCTCTCAAATACTCAGCAGCCTTTCTGTGTCGTGTCGTTGACTTACCGATAGCTGTACACTGGAATCTAGTGCGTGCGAATGGCAATTTCTATAGCGCCATCTGTCGAGTATTTTTTTGTTATAGCGCGCTAAATATGGAATTATTTGAATGAAGTGAAAATGTAAATTGTAAATGCTTCAACATGATTTTTTTGAAATGAAATAAAATTAAAATAAAAAAAATTTAAATACTATTTTTTTCTTGCGGAGTAAAAACATTAAAAGCTGCATTTTAAGCGCACGCGTTGCATTGCGTTTGTCCTTTGCGGTTGTCATGGAGATAAACAAACTGAACAAACAAACATTTTTAATTTTTTCATACATTTAATTCAGCGCCGACAAAATGCAGGAAGACGCCGAGGCTAAAACGCAACAATTGCAAAATTTTCAATCGGATGATTTGCTGGAAAAGCTCAAATTGCTCAACTATGAGAAGCATCTGCTGAGGGAATACAAATTGAAGCCCTTGTCGCGTTTCTATTTCGTCAAGGCCACAAATCCTGGCGAGCAGTTCTTCATGTTTACGTTGATTTGCTGGTGGCTGTGCAAGAAACTGGGCAAGGACATGGAACGGCCACAGGAGCACGATGATCCCAATACGGTTATAGCCAAGATCATACAAATACTCGAGGAAATTGTGAGTATGTGATTCCCTTAGGCTAACAGCCAGCTCATGCAATCCTTGCAGGATGTGCCCGTGGAATTTGCACCCAACAAGCTCATACGTGGCGCCGGTCCCATCTGCCTCATGGTGCTCGACGTGCTGGCCACCCAGGCGCTGAAGGTGACCAAGGTGAACTATCAGCGCCTGCACATTGTGCAGGAGGAGGAGTTCGTGGGCGACTATTTGGAGGACAATGCCGAAATCATACTGGAGAAGCTGGAGGATGAGCAAAACGCCGCCGCTCTCAGCGACGACAGCGATCTCGAGCTGGAGGCGCACAATTTCAAGCAGCTCAATTGGCTCAATCGCCAGAAGCGTGCCATGGGCGATATGCCGGCGTCGAGCGTCGCGACGGACGAGCAAAGCCGTGAGCTGAACGCCCGGCTCAGCGACCATCAGGAGTGGCGTTTGGAGCTGGAGCGCGTGCTGCAGCAGCTCAAGGTGTTTGTCAAGGCGGATGCCCGCGACTGGCGCACCCACATCAGCCAAATGGAGAGCCTCAACACGGGCATCGCCAATGTGGCCGAGCCTACGCAGACGCAGCTCAAGAAACTCCACAGCGAGTTCACCTTCAGCCTGGAGAAGATCGAGAGCCGTGAGAAACATTTGAACAACGAGCTCCAGCAGCTCATCCAGCAATACAAGGAGCTGTCCATTGAGCTATCCACCGTTCAGTACGCTCAGACGCAGCTCCAAGCGGACTCCGAGCAGCAAATGACGCAGCTCAGCGAGGTGATGGCCGAGCAGGAGCTCAAGAAACAGGAAATGGAGCGACGCGGTCAGGTTATGTCCGATGGAAGTAAGTATGTCATAGAATACAATTAAAATCTCAAAATGGGCCGAAAAACTATAAAAATGGGAATCATTTACAAATTATAATTTTCAATAGTTCGAATTTATTCCTTTATACTACAAAGATAATAAGATAAAACCACAAATTGGAATATATTTAGATTTTTTATATAATAATTATTATACATTTCTGATTTATAATCATCTATATAGAAAGATGTTATGCAGTCATTTATTTAAAAGAGATTTGCTTAAAGACAAATTCATTCTACTAAAAATTTAATTTAAAGTTTTTTGACTTCTGTTTGAGACCAATGTTCTATAAAAATAGTTTAAATTTCTGAAAGGTATTATTCTTTCATACATATGGTTAAAGTAAAGGGGGAAGAGTGATCTATTCGAGCTGTGGCCGACTGGGAGATACCCTTTACCTTTTTTCTCTCAAAGGGATGCAATAGCATTAACGACAAGTTTATAAAAAAAAGGAAAGTTTAGTTTCCTTCGTTAGTTGCCTTCACCTCATATTTTACAGCCATTCTAAGAATCACTTTTTAGTGTAAAAAAAAACATATTTATAAATAGCAGAAACATTAGGAAGATCTACAAATACAAATCTGTTGACTCTAGCTCTCAGAACCTAAGAGATTTGCTCAAAAAACGTAATTTCGATATCGCTTTCAATCGGAAAGTTATCGATCAGCAAGAATATATATACTTATGTGTTCGAAAATAATTTCTTTTGCCTTTTACATACGTTTGCACCAAATCATTATACCCTTTTAACCCATTTTTAATAAAGGGTATAGAAATTATAATTTACTTAATTTTAATTTAAAGTGTTGAAAGTATAAAATCTTTTTTTTTCAAAAGTTCAGAGAGAAAATCTCAAAAAATGGTTCGAAAATTCGAATCTTGAGCTCAAGTCAAATTAATGCAATGTTTATTTAAATATGTAGGCAATATTTTTGGAGGTTTTCATTTCATTTTTATATATTCATTTTTTCTTTCATAAACTTTTCACTTTTCGGCAAAAACTTTGATAGAGAAAACTTGAATACTCTCTGCAAGATTTTCATATATATTATAGTAATCCTCTAAAAACGTTTGACTTTAAAGATACCATATTCTATAGCCTAAATGTGACTAGTATGGATCAGAAGCATCATTATAATGAAATGCTTAAAAAAAACTTATCCATTGCTTTAAGGATTCGTATCTCCAACTTCTGGTAGCATTTATCTCTTCTGCTTGCCATCTTGATAAATTCCCCAGTAAATATTCAGGTGGAAATTCCCATTCGTCAAAATACCAGAATAATTCACAGCATTTTTCTTTGTTGACTCTTTTCACGATTTCAGAAACCAAATTTTGGCTTTTTTTCCATCGGACTCTATCGAAAACTCTCTCGAATCTTAAGTCAGTTATTCACATGCTAATTAAACCATTTGGGTTTCCTTTGCAGGCTCCGTTCAGCAGATCAAGAAGGCGATTGTCAAGCTCAAGGATGACATTGCGCAACTGAATCTGGAGGTGGCACTGCTGGTGCATGCCTACGACCAGGACACAGTGCGTCAAACGCTCGGCGCTGCTGACCAGACAAACAACTGATAGGACAGGCAGGAGTCTATAACAATGTATATTTAGCATATGAATGCGATTCCGGTGCCCGGTCATATTTCACACTTGGCCATGGGTGCGAGTTGTTGTTGTTTCTGTTGTTGTTGGCCTTGTTTTTACACCGATCGATGCCTATCACAATCAGTTCAGGTGAGCGCAGTGGATGGGGGAGGGGGTAGGACCACCGGCGTTGCTCCGCCCCGTCGACGAGCGTTTGATTTGATTGCCGCTCTGCTGATAAGCTTCGTAATTGGTTGCTAAGCCAATAGGGCGGTCAATTATCACCTCTTTGTTATCTCCACTTCACACGCACACACACACGCACACACAGATGCACACACAGGCACATGGACACGCGTGTCCTGCGCGCTGATCAGATAAGCAGCCACGTCGCACTATCGTCCGCGTAGATGAGAAGACGCCGCTTCGGCCGCGACTACCACATAACCGAAGCCAACCCAACCCAACCAAACCCAACCTAACCGAACCTAACCAAACCGATCCGTAACCAAAACCAAAACCAAAACCAAAACCAAAGCAAACCTAAGACGCAACCGCGAAACCCCGGGCTGGCCGTAGGTGTTGCTACCCCCGACCCTGTCTCTCCCTCTGCCCGCTACCTCTCCCTTTACGCTGCCTGCCGCGCACGCGCAAACGCTTTGTTTGCCCACTTGGCCCGGCTTATCAGCCCAATGTGCAATGCCCAATCCCCGATGCCCAATTGCCAGGTCCAGGCTGTGATCCCGATGCGCAACTTGTTGTGATTTTCGCTGCGGCTTGCCAAAGGTGCTAAAAGGTTTTCCCAAAAACCAAAAGGAAGCAAAACAAAACAGCGTGGAAACAGCCAAGGAAAATTCTTTGCACGCGTGCAGGTTTTTCCATCCTTGAAATAACCGTATGTAAGCCAATAGACCATCAAATAAACTCTATGTTAAATGCTGCATCTTATACTTATATATATATCGTACTTGTGAGTTCCAATATCGGAGCATACTATATGTATTTTATGTAAATCATTTATAGATTTGTTATATTAATATAATATATAATTAATGACTTGAAATTTGAATTATAAAAAATTATGGTATAGAAACTCAAGAGCATTGCGTTTTTGTTCAACTGGTTATACAAAGGAAACGATTTTATAAAAAATATTCAATTTAGATTTTAATTGGTTTAACTTTTTAAATGGGATATAGTCCATTTCGGCGTTGGTACTATAACTAAAAAGGACACGCATCGATAAAATTGAATATTTGACTTCTTTTGAATCTTGTTTAAGCAAATTGAATTTGTTGTCAATAAAATGTATTTTGGATTATTGTGGAATGAAAATAGGAACTGTTTAATGTCAAGAAACTATAATATTCGAAGAAAATATTAAACAATAGTTAATAATTAAAGTCCAAATTCGACAGGATATATTTTGTCTAGGGTAACATGTTTACTACTTTCATGTTTTATAAAAACCGAAAGTTGATTCTTTTTTTACATATATGTATACTAAATATATTTACTATATATGTACATATATCTCTATATATAAAACTGTCTGTCCTGACTGACTGACGTATTGACTGATTGATTGGTGATCAACGCACAGCCCAAACCGTAAAAAACTAGGAAGCTGAACTTTCCCTGTAGTTACTTTCTGTGATGAAGGTGCACGTTAAGATGGGGTCTCGGGAACTTCCACCAGCATATGTGGAAAAATCGCGAAAAACGTTTGTTTGTTTACCATCCGATTACAATAATTCATATGTAAATACATACACATATATGTATGCATGAATTTTTGCATATATAAATATATGCATGCATACATATATGTTTGTGTGCATGTTTTCATATACATATATGTATGCATGTTTCTTTGCATATGTGCAAACATGCATACATACACACATATGTACATACATACATACATACATACATTAATACATACATACATACATATATATGTACACACGTACACTACTAGCTTAGCATGAGAAATTGCAAAGCCTACTTAACTTCTTGAGAATCGAGGAGTAGAGCACTTGGTAAAAGTTCGATTTATTTAAATTTGCAGCACAGCGACAAAGAAGCTTGGTCTGCGTTTGGTATTAGAAAACAACTATGCATGCAGACATATATACATAAATGCATACATACATGCATGCACACATTAACACACACGCCTATATACACACACAAACACATATTACTTACTCTTCGTACAAAATAATTAGATACTGTAAATGTTTACTATATTTTTGATGATTTTAATTTTTGCAAAAACAAACAAAACATTAGCTTAAGTCGAATAATTATAGCTTTAGCTGTATTGGCGTAGTTATTTATTTAAATTAAAGGATATATTTATATATTTTATTTAAAAAATATATAAAAAATAAATATATAAAAATATACTTCGTAAATTGTATATCAATAGAACGAGCTGAACAGGCAAGGTATGAATACTTTTAAAAAAAATCCAAGTCATTTTCTTATTTTTTTTACAAATTTGCAATTTCAGAATCGGCCAATAAATATGGCATAAGGCAAAATTGTTGTAAATTTAGCTTTAACATATTGTTATTACACATATTTTATATTTATATAAAGACATATTTGTCTAATTTTTAAGCTTAGGCAATAAAAAAGTAGTCTTAAAAATATATATTATATATACTCTTAAAATATAAAATATATAAATATTTCAATTAAAATAAAAGCTTGCAATACCATAAAATACCATACAAATTTATTAAATATGTAAATTGATAGCCAAAAAAGATTGGTATTACTTTTTAAAACTATTGAGAAGAAAATATTTGAAAGAATCTGGGCTTGAATCCCATTGTCTTGGCCGAGAATGATGATGAAATATTTATAATAAATATGAAATAAAAATAAGAAATATTTTTGCGTATAATTTAAGTCGAATACACACCTGAGGAAAGGCCAAAAATGGAATTACAAATGTAAAATTAAACTATAAAAATTAGCAATTGATTTCATATACATAAATCTCTCTCTATCTCTCTCTCTTTCTCTTGCTCCCTGTTAGCCCTTGTCTCTTTGGTTGCATCTCTGTCTGTGGCATGCAAAATAGAGCAAGTCAAAAGTCATTTTGTGGCTCTTTTCATGCTTGCTTGGCATAAATTGCATTATTATTAGGCTTATTTGATATGCGCCGACGACCGAAAAGCTGCAGTGAAATTGCAAAGCCCACAACAACAAAGGCAACAACAACAACAACAACAACAGCAACAACAACAACAAGAAACAACTGACTGTAGCATTAAACTTGTTGTTGCTCCAAAAGCCAAAAGCAACTACTGTTCATTTCCCACGGTAGGATTCGGATGCCATTCCACTGAGTGAGTGGCAGGCAACTCGCGACTTGCGACTCGCCAACTCGCTCTGGGGCTGGGGCTGGTTTTTGGCCGCAGTTGCTCAGAGTCTCGAGAGTCTCCGAGTCGCTCGGCCGCGTCTCTCATTGTGTGGCTGCCGCTGCCGCTGCCGCTGAGTGCGGTGGGAGGCAGCAGCTGGAGCTTAGAGCTGGGAGCAGCTGGATAAGAGCGAGTACGCAGATGAGTTTCATTTTCTCATTGTTTGGCACGACCAAGTTGCAAGCTGCCCCAAAATACAATAACAACAACAACAACAGCAACAACAACAAGAGGCAAGACGCGAAACCTGTTGCCCAGTTTCAACTTTACGTTGAATGAACAAATTTGTGTTCAGCTTTTTGGCCGCTGGCTAAAAAGCATTTGCTGAGCATAAATCGTGATTTGCCCACAGTTGGCCGGAGAGAGCCAAAGATAGTGGCCAGAAAAATATATAAAAAAAAAACATTGCCCCGTACTCCGCCCCGCTCCGCCCCACGCCCTTTGCTCAGACGCCACCTACAAAGCCACAAGTTGCATTTGTTAATATTTCATTCGATCAAAGCCCGAAATATTATTGAATTATTTATGATCTAATACTATATCCGAATCGAGAGATTCATTCATTTTTTTGTTAGTTTCTTTGAAAATTCATTCAAGATTCTTTTTGTTTGTTTGGGTTTTGGTTGCGGGTTCTCGTTGTCAGCTTGTCAACATTTCTGCCCTCTGCCCGCTCGCTGTGCTCGATATCAACAGTCCCCCAATTCCAGATCCAGTCTAGATATATGCATATATATATATATATATATAGCTGTCTCTGTCGGAACATCGATTTAAATGCAAATCAATGTAATAAAACATTTTTCTTTCACTCTGTTTTTTCTTTTTGTTAGCGATACCATCCACGATTAATTTTAAATTCAATTTGTTTGAAATGGAGCTGAAGCTGGAGCTGGAGCTGTAGCTGGTGACACCTACGCCTGCCAGTCAGCCAGCGAGTCGGCCAACACCTCGGCTGCCAGTTTTATTATTTTTTTTGTATTTTCGTTTTTTGGGAACTGATTTTTGTTGGCTCTAAATCAACGGAAGTTCATGTGGCGCTTAGCACATGAAAATCGATCGTAAATCTTATTTCACAGCTTGGCAGCTTTCTAAACATCGGAGACGTGAGTAATGCGGGGGATTGCATTTTGGTTCAGCTCATAATAAAACGCTTGACCATTGACTTTTGTGGCCAAACAAACCCTATTATTCGTATAACCCACAAAAGGTATTTTATTTTTATGCATTGCCATTGAAGTGCTCTTCTGGGTGTGTGCCAGTGCGTGTGTGTGTGTGTGTGTGTGTGTGAGTGTGTGTGAGTGTGTGTGTGTGTGTGCGTGAGTATTATTGGATGACTTGACTTGAACAAGGCTTTGCTGGCATTTTGTTTCGGAAATGATGCTGAATGGTTTCCTTTATAATCCTTGATTGTTCTATATTGGGCTAGAAATACTATTCTCTGAATGGAAATAAGTAGTAAGTATATAGAGATTGCGTTTGTTACTATAAGCAAATTTCTTACAAATTAGAAATCGATTCAAAACAAGTCATTTTGACAGTTGAAGATAGAGTAAAGTAGAGTAAAATTATAAATAACCATGACAATAATAAAATTCATATAACAAAAATATATAATAATAATAACAATTATAGTAATAATAATAATAATAAAATATTAATAAATAACCATAACAATAATAATAAAATCTAAAAAATAAATTATAATAATAAAATAATAATAGCAAAACAAAATTAAATAATCATAAGAATAATAACATTCATTCTTCGTAAAATATAACAAGGGATAGGATATGGATGAATTTGAATGGGTGAAAAAGATATATCTAAAATTGATGCAAAAATATTGTATGGGCGAGGCCGGGGAATACCCGCTATTATATTTATATGTACACATGTATTTTAACTATAAATCAATTATTTTAATAATATTGATAGTAATAATAATAACAATAAATAGACATAATAATAACAATACATATTTCATTTCAATTATTACTTACTTTTCTGCTTACTTATTTATAACTATAAAATCATTTTAAATCTGAAAGTATTTAAAACTAACTTAGCCAATTGTTGGTTCAAACAGGTCAAAAAAACAAATAATGCAATTACAATTAATTTAATTGCGAGCGCTTAAATGTTACAATATTGCATTTTTAATGGAATTTGTAGGTTGCATTGGTGTGTGGTAAAGTTGTTAAATTGTTTAAACTTTAGCTTCATATTGTTTTTAGCTTTGCCTATAAATGATAATATAAGATTCAAGGTGAATGAAGACTAAACAATTATAATATCTTGTATTTCTCGTATCTTCCTTTTAATAAATGTTGTATAGGAAAGTCTTTCCTTCATATTAGATAAAAAATAGAGTTGTTCTTTAAATATAATATAATATAATGTTTACATTGATTCAAATTTCTTAATAGCAGAATTTGATGCCCAAACTTAAATATAGACAGTTTTCCATAAATTTCATTTTATTGTATGTTTAGTTAGTTTCTATCAACGTCCTTATATTAATATTTTTGGTAAAGTTCTACAATTAACTGCTCTACATGGTTAATGGATAACTAACTTTGTTACGGATAATGTTGAGCTCAAAAATTGTCCATAAATTTCCATTTTAAATTATTGGTTAATTTGTATAATCAACTGCTCTGACTGAACATTAACTCACGATGACTTGACAAAAGCTGCTCGCAACTGTTTGGTTTTTATTCACAAAAGTATTAAATTTCATTAATTGCCAAAATTAAACAAACAAAAAAGAATCAACAAACAGCCGCAACAACAAATACAAATACAAGAATAATAATAAAAAAAAGGCGTTTTTGTGAAAAATTAAAAATTCATACGGCAGCGATGCGTTCGCATAAATTTCACGAAGAGACGCAGCCGGAGCTGGGCCAAGGAGGAGACAGGCGCAGACGTGGGCGAGATCTGAGCTGTGTATTGCCGCTATATAAATAAGCCCAAACTGGACCGCAGCGAGGTGCGAGGCGGCATTGTCAACAGCTGATGACAAACTTTTCGGGGCTGCTGATTGCCTCACGGCAGCGACAGCGACGGCGACAGCGACGGCGATAGCGACAGCGCTGCCAGGTTTCATTCAAGGTGTCGGCCAAATTTGTGATGCGCTGATGCGCTAAAAAGCTTGATTTATATCGCTTGGCTATGCTGCGGCATCCATCTGCATAAATTTGATTTAGGTACGAGCGTTAGTTTTCGACCCGACCACACTTCCAATATGGCTGTGTTGTCTGTCTCCTCCATGTTGAACAGTTAGCTGCCGTTATAGCGACACGATCCATCAATGAATTCGGAACTCAATGAACTCGTACTATGGCCATAAAAAACCAACCAAAAAAAAAATGGAAAAAAAAACTATAGCCCATAAAGCGCTATCGATCGAACTGTGAGCAGCTTCTCTGCCCGCTGCTCTGCTCATTTCGTATGCATTTTAGTTAGTATGTTAATTTTTTGATTATTATTATTATTTTTTCTACTTCTGCTCGGTTTCTATAGTTTCCAGTTTCCATTGTGTTTTATTTAATTTTAATTTTTATTTCGTAAATTTTAAATTTGTTGTCACTTCTGTAGGAGCGCAAAAGGTTTTTCCATTGTTCGCGCAGTTCTCAATCGAAACAATAACAAAAAAAAAAAAAATCAGACAACAACAACAAAATTACCGAATTCGAAATCGATTTCGTTTGTTTTTTATTATAATTGGGTGCGGTGCGGTAGTTTTTGCTGTCTCTCTATATAAGCATATATCTTCTTTTTTTTTATTTCTTCAGAATAACGTCTGAATCGCTGTCATTGTAGCGACAATTCAATAAAAATCTAAAAAAAAAAGATACTTTTCATGAATAGCTCTTTGAATATTTAAATTTACGTGCGCGTGTGTGTGTGTGTGTGTTTATTTGCTGGCGCGAGAAGGTGGCAGCTGTTTTAGTCGGACATAGAAAATTAATAAAATTTATGGTTTATTTGGAATTTTCGTGGCTTATTAATTTGCCATAAAGCTGGCAGGCAAAGTGTGTGGCAAAGTTAAGTGGCAATCGGTGGCACATACACGGCGAGAAAGCGAAACAACTCACATACAGTTATGCACACACATACAAACATACACACACACACACACACACACACACACATTCACATAGATATTTAGAGGCCTATTTTAAGATGAATCACAGTCTGTTAGCTGCGAACAGAGCTGAGTTACTTTGGTTTGTTTGCGTTTGTTTAGGCTCTTTTCGGGACAGGTAACATTTTCAGAATGTTGCCAACAAGCTTTAAACTAAATGATCTAAGCATATTTATGTTGTTCCCCTGAAACTAGTTTTCACTAGATCAAATAAGTTAGTTACACAAATAATAATTGAGCTGTTACCATTAACATTTTATTTTAATAGGTAAGACTTAATCCACTTCCATCAATTGCATGCACACAAGTATTTCTAGTACTTAACATCATCCTTGATTTAAGATAATGTTTAGAAATCGAACTTAAATTATGTTCATTTTTCTTCAAACTAGTTTGTTCTAAAATTGCACATAATGCTCTTAAGCTAAGCTGCGATCTGCACTTACAAATAGCTTAAATTAAAAATTAAGTATTAAATATTTTGTACTTAAATTAAGATAGCTTGAATTTTGATTTCCGAAAAATGTTGTTTTCAGTAATTTTTAAGAATATTATTATTTTTACATTTATTCCGTCAGATTACAATCACAGACAAAATAGAATAGGAAAATCTTAAATATTAACTGTATTGAAACTTATAATATACAAAGAGTCTCACTTAAAACAATCCCAAGACAGAGACAAGAAGAAATAGTCTATAAATAAGTATGTGTTCAATGAACAATATATACATATACATATGTATGTATATATTTAATATAATATATATGCATATAACATATTATATGTGGATAAAATTGTATTTTCGCATACAAATACAAATGTTGAACTTTTTTTTAAAATACAAATATTGATAAGTAAAATACATGTTAAATATTTTTTTAATGCAACTTTTGGCAAGTGATTATAAAGTATATTTATTTATATGTTTATTCGATTAAATTGCTTATAAATGCTCTTAAAATTTCACCAGATGTCAATATATGTACTTGCGCATGCTTCATAAGGCATTACCACATGGTTGTCTGTAAAAAATCAATTTGCGGATCTGCTGATTGGATATATGCAAATGTTGAGCACAAAATACGGAATGAAGCCATCAAAAACGAATTGAAACAGTTGTTTTTATTTACAAATATAAAGAAGTTGCCTTTTTTATGGAAAGAAACTGCGCTCAGCCTCACAAGGAGAAACAATTTGAGCATTTTTTGTTAAACTTTATTGATGCTTCATGTCAATTCGCCGGCTCCGCAAAGCGAAAACTTAATTAAAAAATCCAACAGCAGGCACCAAAAAAAAAAAAACAGAAAAAAAAACAATAACAAGAGGCAATCCTTTTTGGGGCCACTTAATTAAAATAACAAAAGGCGCAGAGTTGTGTAAAATTAACGAAATTTGTTCATTTTGCTTTTATTTTAGTTTTTTTTGTGAATCTTTGTGAATGAAGCGTTTGTTTCATTCAGCAGAAGATGAGACGAAGAAAATGAAAGGCAATCAGTTAGAGCGGGCCGAACGCAAGAGATAAACAGACAATAAATATGAGGTCGGCCCTTTTGCGGCGCATTACAAAATGTATTTCGGTATTTTCTCGTTTATTTTTGTATTTCGTTTTTTTTTTTTGTATTTCTACATGTTATTTGTTGTTTGCTGGGCACAAAGAGGCCACACAGCGACAACAAATGCCGCAGCGGCTAAAGAAAAAGGCATTTCAAGAGTTTCCCATGGCGGCACACACACGCACACACATGAGCACAAGCATTCACACACGCACACAAAATGGAGCCGCGACAGTTAACAAAGTTGGCAGCGCAGTCAATGCGGCGTATGCGTAATACGGCTGCCTGGCGCGCTGCCACTGGTTTTCAGCACTCACACACACAGACAGAGAGAGTCATACACACACTGACGCATGCGAGTGAGAGACACACGAGAAACGGGTTAAGGGCAGGCAACTGACAGTTGAGCGCCAGCAGCGACGCAAACGTTGCTGCCATTGGCCGCCCAAAAGCGCCACAAGGCAACGCCCACTTAACAACTGAGTATATGTTTGCGTGTACGTATGTGTGTGTGTATGTGTGTGTGTGTATGTGTGTGTGTGTAAAAGAAAGTTGGCTGCGTTGCACAGCAGCTAGACGACAGAGAGGGATAGCACTACATGAGTTTGTGTGTGCCAGACAGAGATCTTTGCGGCCAGCTACTACTCTTTGGCATATAATTTGTGTGTGTTGCGCACGCTCTTAATTAAAATGTAAGCCTTTTTGGCGGGCGTAGGCGCATTTAGGCTTAATTAACAGGCCAGAGCACGCACGCACGTAACGCCCCAGCGCAGCAGCGCTCAAGAAACAGAAGAAAAAAAAAATTAAGAACTCGACTCACCTGCTTTGCTCTCGCACACACATAAACACACTCGGCGCTCTCATCCAATCAGCGCACGTTGCGCTCACTCAAACTCGTTTTGCGCTCAATTGTGCTAGAGCGAGACAGTGCAGAGACAATTGAATGCAAGCAGCGAACAGCAAGCAGCAACAGCGAACAGCAACAGCAGCAGCAGCAGAAGCTGTTTTATGCTCTTGTTGTTGTTGTTGCGCCGCTCAACTGTTTCAACACAGGCAGCTGTTAAACCCATCAAGCTGAAGTTTCGATCGTAACTTTGCAGTTGACTCTCGCGCACAGAAGCGTTCGGAAGTGAAATATATTTTATTAATAATATTAGCAGTCGAGCTGTGCCAGCTTTTTGTGCTTTATAAACTTTGACTCGTACAAGCGCCGTCGCCGTCTGTTAGCAGCAGCAGCAGCAGCACGCAAATTAACAAAAGTGAACGAATTTACGAAAAGGCCAACCAAACCAACTGTAATTAATTTTCGTTGCTGCGGGTGCAAATATATACATTTGCGATTTGCGGTACACAAGAAAAAAGGTAAGCAGACGCCATTTTGTTAGACGTTGCCATTTTGTGGCTACTGTTAAAAGCTGCCGCAGTTACGCAGCAGCAGCAACAACAACAGCTCGCATAGAGTTTGGGGCTGAGTGAAAGACAGAGAGAGAGAGAGAGCGAGCGAGCAAGTGCGCGGCTTGGGTGCTACTCGTCTTGCGCATGCGCAGTAGCCGAAGCTTATAAGAACTTGCTTCGGCTTCTGGTCTTGAGCTTCCTCTTCGTGTCACGAATGCGTCTTCGGGTTCGGCTTTAGCGCTCGTGCTTGACCAGTTAGAAAGAAGAGCTAGGCAGAGCTGCTGCTGCTGCCGCTGCTGCTGTTGCTGTGGCACTACAGTAGTCCGATGACTCACACACACACACACATTTACATACACACACACACACACACACACACATACACTCACATCCACTACTGTATTGAGCCGCACTCAAGACACACATACACTGACTGAAACGCCTCGGTCTTTTGGTCTTGACTGCGTCGTCGCCGCTTCCTCAACTTGGCAGCAGCGACGCGAGCAGCAGCAGCCGCAGCCGCAGCAGCAGCTCTCGGCAGCAGCAGAGTTGACTACTATTTCTTTCAGTTATTAGTAGCATTCATTCATTCAACTTTGTGCCGCGCAAGCGTGCGTAGTTCCTCAGTTCCTTCGCGTGTACCTACCTAAGCAAAATAGAAAGAAGAATAAAAAAAAGTATAAAAATAAAATAATTATCATAATAATAATTACGCTACACACATACAAAGATATTGCGCTACGTGACTTTAATTCATTCGTCGCCAGTCGTCGTTGTCGTCGCGTTAATTCCAGTGATTAGCAGAAGCAGAAGCAGCAGAAGCAGCAGCAGCAGCTACCAACATTTTGTCGCACTTTTCCCATTGGGTAAGTTTTGCCTATGCGACTGCGCAGTTACGCAAGCGTCGCCATTGCTATGGGACCTGACTGCGCAGCCAGCGTCGGTCGGCTGCACCTAGGCGGCGGCGTCGCACAGTAGCCAGTAAGCAGCGCTTGGCGCTTATGTTCTTGTTCTTGTTCTGTTCTCTTCTTTTAATGCTGTTCTTGTTGTTTCTGTGTTTGTTTGGCTACCAGTTTTACGCGCTTTCATTGGCCCAAGCCAAATGTGCGTGAGCGCCTCTCGTTGCGAGTGTCTGCATGTGTGTGTGTGTGTGTGTGTGTGCGTATGCAAGAGCGTGAGAGTTGAAAGAAATGGTTTGTCAATGGCGTTCGTTGAGCTTTTTTGCCTGCTTGTAAAAGTGTCGCAAAATGGCGACCATAACGGAATATCTAATTAGCCTATTAGATACGCTTTTTTTTAGGCCTACAAATCAAATAGGTAGCAGAGTTGCCAGATCTGCGCTGTAGTTACAGCCAAGGCATATTTTTACTGGAACTTAGTTTAAGATCTAACATTCCGTATTAAGAAAATCGAAAAGCTTCATTTAAATATGGAAATTCTTTAAAAAGTATATACCTTACATTTACCTTAAAATCTGTTTTTATAAAATTGTAAACAATTATATTATAGCTTAAATCTGGGGCTTGTAAAAATTATCATCATATTAATCTTTTGCCGACGGCATTTTTTCAACATGAGCTTACGGGCTTAGCTCTTTCCGTTGTAAGCCCATGAGTCAGCACTACTTGGCCAACTTCTTATAAACGATCAAGGTCTCTGCGAGGTTAATAAAACTTGCCAAACGCACAAAACATATCGCATAGACAATAACACTCACAACCGCAAATCAGTTGCCACAGATCATCAAATGATTGTGGCTTAGACTAAGCTCTGACTCACGCCGGTGACTTTAATTTATAAAGTTTAGCTGAATGAGTCGCAAGATTTAACAAGCAGCTAAAAATAACTACACTTTTACCATTGTTCCGAGCAAGGCGAGATTTTAAATATTGTGCAAGAATTGCCCTCGGCAGGGAACTCTGGCCTCGTCCTTTATCTGTGGACTTGAGACCACACGCTGCGTGCCATCAATTAGGCACAAATTAGTTAAGCGAACAGTCTAGCAGACATTTTGCACCTTTTTGGGTGCATATAGGATTCCTGCAGGATCCTGTTCCCGAACTGTCTGTCATAACCGATCACGCAACATTTGATCTCGCATCGAGTTAGGATTTGCCGCGGCGAACAAAGTGCGTGTTTTCCCACAAGCTGTAAAGAAGGGCACATTTGTCTTTGGCTCAATAGTTGAGCGAGGACCTTTTGTGGTTAGGTGTTGGCTCCTTGGCTCGACTGTGTCCAGTTTGGCGCGCCTGGCTCCTTGGCCGCATTGTTCCCATTCTTCGACTACTTGAAGCGCTGTGGCACAGTGCCTAATTGTTGTTGGGCATTTCTTGAGAATTCTGCGCCATTAGCACAATTAGATTCGTATCAAATCGTTTCGGTGCCTTTGTCCTTTTCATTTTATATGGCCACGGCCCGACTGGGCCCGGCTTATTGTCATTTTTTCCACATTTCGGCTGTAATTTTTAATGACACCTTGCCAACTCACTGTCCGCCTCCAAATGAAAGAAAAAGGCCATTGGTAAGTGTGGTAATCGCTTTTGACCATGTCTTCTGTGCCATGGGCCCTTAACAACGCGACGTGTGTGTCACTCTTCTGTCCGACTGTCCGTCTGTCTTCCCTTTTTTGTTTTTTTTTTGTTCTGGTTTTTTAGGTCCTTGCTGCCTTATCGTTGTGTACCGCTACACATTATCGCTGGGCCGGGGTGTTAAACTGTAACTTTTCGGTTTTTGGCTTCGTGGAAGGCGCTGGCGCACTAACACTTGCACACACACACACACACACAGACACTTGCCACCCGACTTAGATACAGATTCAGATACGATGCGTATCTCTCTCTGTTCCTTGTGTGTGTGTGTGTTGCCATTTTTGGTGCAAATCTAATTTCACGCAGCATTAACGCCTTTCGCATGCCCTTCACAAGCTGCTGCATCTTCACTTCACTTCACCGTCTGAAGTCTGGATTTCACGCTGTGCCTTGATCTTTCACTATGGACATATATATGTGCCTTTATATATATATATATATGTGCAGCATCTTTCTCGTTGCGGTTCTCAGTCAGACCTGGAGCAGACCTCTCGTTGCGCTGTGTGTACAAAACACTAATTATTTTCACTGCGGATTAATGGGATTAGCTGCATGTTGTACAACAGTTTATTATACAATATTTGGCCAGTCTCGTAAGTACGTGTGGTCTGCCAGCCACGTCTGTGGGTGTTGCTGTTGACTTGGGCTAACGCTAAGCGGATTTTGGCCGAAAGTCACTTGCCCAACAGCAACAGTTGGCAAACGGATTATGAATAACGTTTGCAAATGTCAAATGGAAAATATTTATCATCATCACAAATGCTTTATAATTACTTAAATATTTATAAAGGAGGAATTTGCTGAGAATAAGCAGAGAAGAATTTACTTGACATAAGATCTAAAGCCACATTCCACAGTATAATATAATATATTTACCATGGAAAAACTGATAAGAAAATATTTGAAATTTAAGAATTTCATATTTTTTAATTCATAATAATTGAACTATAAATATAATTACTTGTAAGGAAAGTCGCACAATCGTCAAATTAAACTTTTATTATTTATTTATTAACATATGATATGTACTATTATGCGAAGAAAGTTCTTTCAATATTTCTCGAATAGTATAAAAGTGCGTAATCATATATAATTTAAATTTCAACTAGAAAATTTAGCAGTTGACTCTGTGCAAATAACTAGTTGACAAAGTTGATCTCAAGTTCAAATGTTTTCTTAAGTAGATGCCATCGATCTATTAGACCTCACTTAATGGCTAAACCACTTTTTTTGTAAAACGCATTCATCTCTCGGTTGCCCGGCTAAATAAAGTGCTTAGACGCAGTCGTAAGCCGTGGCTAATGCTGCTCCACTTAGGCCCACGCCAAATGACGGAAAAGCATGGCCAAAAGCAAAGCCAAAGCATAGCCAAAGGCCAAGCCATGGCCTGGAGATGCACATGCATCTCCATCTCCGAATCCATATCGAATCCATGGCCTTATGCAGGCGCCCTGTGTCGCATGATTAACGGCGTTAAAATGCCAATGTGACGCCACATTGTGTACACAAATTAACATGGAGCTGGGGCTGAAGTCGGAGTTGGAGTCGGAGTCGGAGTTGGACTAAGACTGGTTGGAGTTGGCGATCAGCGACCTGGACGCAAAGTCAGTGTTATAATTTGAATATGTTTAGTGGGCATTAATGTTATAATGACAATAACTACGTAGCGTCTGCGGCTGGTGCAGCACCCGCTGTGACGTTTGCCTTTTGTTGTCAACGTTTGCCCCCAGTCAAAAACCGAAACCCAGTCCAGCTCCAGCTGCGAGCGTTCAAACCAAACCAAACGGAAAAAAAACAAAAAAAAACAGAAACATATAAATAAATATCGAAATCGGGGCTTGCCGAGAGACGTTGTCGCTACCAGTCGGCGCAGGCTTTTGTTTGCGCAGAAATCTCCGAATCCGCTCTCCAAACCCAAGCCCCATCCCCATCCCCAGAATATATGGCATAACATTAAGGGACTGACGCGTATTTATATACATATTCATATGCTATCCGAAAAAAATGCCATCCAGCGGCGCCGAAATGACAAAAATAAAATTACATAAAAAATAACAGTTGTTAACTACCGCACAGGACCCAAAACGCGGCATCGGCATCGGCATCGGCATCGGCACCTCGATACCCCAAAAATCATCTGGCATAAATTTAAAAGTCCAGCCTCAACCCAGGCGCCAATTAAAAATAAACTTGTTACAGCGCCACTTTAATGAAGCGACTAAAATATGGCAACTGTATGCGGCCAGGGGCTGTCGTAAATGCATAAACACTCTCGAAGAGTGAATTTGTGACGCCTTTCAGTGTCTTTATAGTTGTCTGTCCTATGGGAACTCGGCTGTTAGTGCAGCTACGATCATTAAATTTGGTATATGATCTGATTATAGCAGTAGATGCCTTATAATACAGAAAGCTCTACAATGGCAACACTAAATCACCTGAGAAAACAGCAATTCGATTAAAGGACAAGCAATATGATGTATGACTACGTTAAACAAGCTAGATCATAATTTACTTGTATTTAAAGTTATATCAGAACTAAGTTCATAATAACTAATGTATGATTATTCAGGGTTAACCATTTGGTAAACATGTACTTAACATATTCATGGTAAAGACTATAAACACGCTACACGTGATTTTGTGACGCTTTTCAGTAATTTTATGGCTGTCTGAGCAGTTGGTGCAGCTACGATCATTAAATTTCGTATATAGCCTTTTTATGGCAGCAGATGAAGAAATCCCCTCAATTCCCATACTATATCTTGTGAGTTCTCGAGGTGCTTAAGGTTTCTAAAGCAGTTCAGATTCTATCGTACAAATATGGAATACTAAAATACTAAGTATATCTAATAACTTTAGATAGTTGATAGGTATATTTGACTTATATGAATGCTTATGCAAAAGCCTTCCTATAAAGTAAAGTTTAACCTAAAAATCGCATCCTTGAGCTTTTCAGCTCTAGGGCATGCAAGTTTTTTCTCAGCTTCGCGCTAATTGAACAATTTTGCTGCGGAAGTACAGTTGACAACAAAATACGGCAGCTGGTGACAGTTGAGACGTGGCAACAATGGGCCAGGTTTGGAATTACCGCTACAAAAAAAAAAAAACAAAAAGCGCACAAAAACACAGTTAAAAGATGTCGTTTAAGACAAATTATAAGCGAAGGTTAGCAACTGAAACTGGGCGGCTGGTGATTTGTAAATGTCAACACCAAGTTCGTGTTGCTTATGGGCCAGCGTTGCGGTTCGGGCTTTAATGAGTCATTTTCAATTTCATGTTGCGTGATTTAAGTTGACAACTTGTCGTTGTTGTGGTTGTTGTTGTTGTCGAGATGTTGTTGTCGTGGTATTTTCGCTCAAATTTATTGGCACATAAAAGATGTCGCAGGCGTTGCTAACTTTATTTAACTTTGTTTCTTGTCTCTCTGTCTGTATTTTTAGGTGTTTGCCTTAAAGTGCGCCATAAACTAAAAGGCAACGGCAGCAGCAGCAGCAGCAGCAGAGCAGCAGAGCAGCAGCAGCTGGAGAGACGGCCCACCCAAAACGCCTACAACAACAACAAAAAAAACTAGCAAACGGAGAAATCACAACGCCAACAGCCAACAGCCAACGGGCAGCGAGCGTGTGACAGTTGACAAAACTAAAATAAAATAAGAGAAAAAAAGAAAAGACCGCAGCGTTGCCACATTTCAGCAGCAGCAGCAGCCATACAGAAAAAAGCGCCGTGTGTGTATTTGTTATCTGCCAGCTAGCAATAGAGATAGCGATTACGCTGTGAGTACCGTTAACAACGTCAGGCATTGCGCTCATTGCACAGAGCAAAGCTCAACAACAGCCACCCCACTCGGCAACTGAGTGCAAGAGATCGAGCACACACACTGACATCCAGAGAAAGAGAGCGAGAGAGAGCGTGCGTGTGTGTGTGAGCGAAGAGAGCGTGTCGTCGGGAGCAGCAGCAGCAGCAGCAACACCGACGCCAACTCAACGAAAAACTTCACCCACTGATTGTGCGAGTAGTGAGCGCGCGCGCGTCTGTCGCACGTAGGCAAAAAAAAGAAGAAAAAAGAAGTCAAGTAAAAAAAGAGGGAAAATATTATCGTCTGTCAAAATGTTTGCTGTAATGCGAATCGACAACGATGACTGCCGGTCGGATTTCCGTCGCAAGATGCGTCCAAAGTGTGAGTTCATTTGCAAGTATTGCCAGCGGCGTTTCACCAAGCCATACAATCTGATGATACACGAGCGCACGCACAAATCCCCAGAGATAACATATTCCTGTGAGGTCTGCGGCAAATATTTCAAGCAACGTGATAATCTGCGCCAGCACAGGTGAGTTCCACAACAACAACAACAACAACATAGATCCTATGCAAAAGATCTACATTTTGTATAATTACTTTATAAATACATATGTGCATGAAAAGCTACAAAACATATTTTCGGTGTTGGTTTTGGTGAGATATATGCAACATTTTGTTAATATATCTGTGTAAATTCAAAGACTAGTCATATACTTATGTATATGCATTAGTTTTGTATAAATTACGACTTGTTAGTAAATTGTTTAGGCCGAAAGCACTTTGATAAGTCTTCCAGGTATTGACGGATTCCCAGTCTTTCTTTTTGTAGTCATTGCACGAAATTAAAATTTATTATGGAATTTGATAAGGCACAATTCAGGTTTATTTATTTAGCGTAAGTCAATTTATTTGTGAGAAATAATATTAAAGAGAGGCCGCCCATTAATTGAGTGTAGTTATTGGCTAGAAGCTTCTGTGGAAAGTTTACACAAACAAATAATCTTTGAATTTAGAAATCAAAATAAAAAAAAAGGTAGAATTTTAGCAAAAAAAAAAGAAAGTATGTAACTTGGAAGACTTTATTATATTTAGGTTCTTATATGTTCAATATGGTCTGTATACCTGTAAACTTTATTCTACTTATATGAAAGTCTTAAAAGAAAAGAAAGACAATTCCCAGATAGCTTGCTAGCTTCAGACTTTATACAGAATATGATTCTATCATCAAAGCTCTGGAATAAACGAATAGTTTCTGCACATATCAATCACACTCACACAGACACACACACACACACACACACACACATTATATAAGCACAAACACACACACACTAAGCACATAAATTGTCACATGGAGAAGAAGAATATGTGATGCCTGATTTTGTACATATGATTACTTTTGAAGACTATTTATCACAACACGGTTCTACTACATCACTTTATTGTTTCTCTATTTTCTCTTCTATTTGTAGATGTAGTCAGTGTGTTTGGCGATAAGCTAAAATATCATAAATACAATATATACGAAAAAAAAACAAAAACAAAAACAAAATAGCAACACACAGCAATATAAAATATATAAAAAAAAAACAAGAAAAAAAGAACACACCATCAGATATCTAAGCACCGCAGCACCAACAGCAAAAACAACAACCGCACGCAATATCACAAATATTTTATATTAAAGCAATGGAAAATGGGCAAATGTCATATTGATAGAGTTATCGATATTTGTTGGTTATCGGTAATCGATCGCAGCAGCAAGCACAGCACAGCACAGCATAATTGCACCACCACCACCACCACGCCCACCGCCCACCCTCATGCACCACACACACACACAAGCTTACTTCTTGATGCAATCGCCAGCAGCAGCAGCATCAGCAGCAACAGCAGCTGCTGCAACAACAGCTGCAACAAGTGCAACTGCAACGATAAACATCGGAATGCAATCGGGTGTTGGTATTCGATAATTCGCTTATGTTTATTACACGGTTTGGTTGTTTTTTTTTTGTTTTTTGTTCTCTTCTCTCTCAAAATATTAATTAATGGTTTTTCGAAAACGTGCACTTGCCACGCCCACCACATGTTGCGCAGGCGCAGCAGCAGCAGCAACAACAACAACAGCAACAACAACAATCAGAATTCAAAATAATCTTTGCAGAAATTTACACATGAACACCTGTGGGCGTGCCTACAGCAAATAAAACAGCAACCAGCAGCATGGCACATGCAACATGCAACATGCAACATGCCTCAGCAACATTGAAAAGTTAGCTTTGTTTATGGAAAGCACAATTAAGCTCAAGCTTCTTGTGCTTTCCTCGGCCAACAACAAAGCAACAACTTTTGCAACATTACGAGCTTGGCAACACCAATCAATCAATCAATCAATATTCAATCAACAGCTGCAATTCTCTTGCCTTATAACTCGGAACTTGTGCGATTCTCTCGCTATCTTATTAATAATACAATTAATTACAATTTAATAATAAAACAAAAATAAATCCTAAGTATTTTTATTTTAAAATCACAACAACAACAAAAAAAAACAAACACGTTGAAAATGTATTACCTAAAATTTATAATAATAAATAATAATAAAAACAAAAACTATTAAACTATATAATGAATGATATATGCATTGTTTTGTTTAAGTTGACCAATTAAAAATGTGAACGCAAAAAACTATTTGGAAAAAATGAAAAACAAAACAAGAAAATATATTTTCACCTAAAAGCCTTAAAAATTAAAATAAAAATGTTTCCCTTTAGAGCGCTGCAATAAGATTGTAAATGTTTTGCTATTTATAAAAGAAAAAATGAGAAAAAATGAGAATGGAAAATGATATATCATACGCAATATGTATTACGTGCAGCTTGCCATGCCCACAAAGGGTTTGAGGGGGCGGGCTAGTGGGCATCGCCTGCATGCATAAACAATAATAATAATAATAATAATAATAATAATAATAATAATACTATTTTATTTTAATGTTTTTAATATGTATGATGACTTTTTTGTTTTTATTTTTGGCATTTGTGTGGTAAAGACAAAACAATAAGTAAATAAATAAACATATTTATACAATGTAATCCTTTCAAGTGTCTTCTTCTTACTATTATTTTTGTTTGCATAGCAACATCTGGCAATACGCGAAACATGTTGCGCAACATCAAAGGGAAATATTGTTGCGGCAACATTCTTTTGTTGACATGTTTTATTATATTCGAACCCATTGAAAATGGCTAAAAAGGGTTTTTTTTATATTCTTTGTTGTTATTTAAGTATTTTCTCAGCTGCATTAAGTAAAAATTATATTATTTTAAACTAAATCAGATATAGTCCTAGTTGCCTGATAGATGCGCTAAAGCTCGCATTAGCAGACATGGATCAAAAAAATTGCTCGTTAGTTGTATGTATACCTCAGAATGTTCTCTCTAATTTGGATTAATTTAAAAAAATATTAAGACTATCTTTGCTTCCAATAATTCAAAAGGTTTAATAGATATACAAAATTTGAATATTTATTTAGCTGGCTCGAGGTCCTGGGCTTAATTGGAAAGGTCGCCAAATCCAGCTGTATATACAATTTGAATATAGTTCAAACTGATTTTGATCTATTTTTGATCATTTCAAAATACTTTTTTAACACTTTTAGTGGGAAGTGTTGATGTATTTAAGCAGTTTGTACTTGAATCTTGACTCAATGCATGCATGCTTACTTGACTTTCCTAAGGTTAAGTTATTGTAGACACAGCTTTGCTTATACCCACATGCTATTTGTGTGCCTGCTGTTAGGTAAGACAGCTATTTAGCTAAACGATTTGTTAACTGACAGAACGTGCCGTAGGATTATATTTAATTAATATCTTTTAAATGATTGACGGATTACTTAATGCATTCATGGATGTACATGACGTGCTTGAGCTTCTGTGAACTAACTGCAATGCACAAGTCCATCTAAGGTCATCTTTAGTAAAGCTTTACTTGTATATTTATATAATTAACGCTTACATCGTATATATACATAAATAATATTTAAATAAAATGATCAGCGAGGAGCGTGGGTGGGTGGCAGAGTGGGGGATGAAGGCTGATCGCCAGCAAATGCAAATTGCTTTCGCAAATTAAAATATTTACTATTTTTTTTAATAATATTTATTAAGAGGAAGTTAAGTGAGGTGTTAAGCTATGGCCGAATGAATAGCTTTGTCTACATACATTAAATATTTGATTACATTTTACAAGGCTTGTAAGGTGCTAATCTCCAACTTCATAAAATATATATAGTCTTGATCAGTATTAACTGCCATATCCCTAAGTCTGTCTGTCTGTTAGTTTCTAAGCTCAGTTGATGGACATTTGATTTTATATATTTCTACAAAAGGCAGAACAAATTTCGGAGAGGATTACTCTAGATATAAGTATATATATAAATAAATATATATATATATATAAAATATTATTAACATCAGACCATATATGAACATGTGTGGTTTATTGTTAACAACAAAATTGTGGTTAAAAAACTTTGTTAGTTTGTTTAAAAATCCTTTAAAGAACAAGACTTTGATGGTTCTGAACTAAGAGAAAAGTCGTTCTTTCTTTCTTTATAATATTTCATAAAGATATTTCATTCAAACTTAATTCATTGTGATCCTAACTCTTGAGCAGACGAACAGTCGATTATTATATATCAAACAGCTCCCTTAGAAATATCAGAATTAATTTATTTTTTCTTAAATATAAAATATTGTGCTGCAACATAAAATGTTGCCAGATGTTTAAAGCATTTAACCGGGACAGGGTCCTCACACAAACAGCTGTGTGCGTGTGAGTGTGTGTAGGTGTGTGTGACTGTGTGTAGGTGTCTGTAAGTGTGTGTGTGTGTTATATCTTGTGGATTGCCGTATTTGCTATCATTATCATAGTTAACTTGCAAGCATTTGCCCCTAGACACACATCATTAAATGCACCATTAAGGGCCCATGCACACACCCCCACCCCCAGCTGGGCCCCATCACTTGCCGCGCGCCCCCTTCACAGTCGTGTGAAATGGTTACCTTTGTCGGCGGTTCAATTGACCCTCGCGCGTGCAGCGACCCTTTAACAAATTAGTAAGAACGAAGAAGAAATTTCACATTGCAAGCGGGCGGCGGGCCATAAATCATGAGTGTGCCACACGCTGCGCTTCGTGTTAATTAAATATTGACTATGTTTTGATAAGCCGTAACATTGCCGCATCCAATTTTCCAATGAGCCGACCAAATTTAAATGTTGCACTCTTCCCAGTTGCGCGTTGCACTGTTGCACGTTGCCAGAGAGCGCGGCAGGATGCGCCACTTGCAAACTGGCAGCCGATAATGAAAGCGTTTCCAAATGCGAAACGAATGCCAGCTCGGCTACTGTGGCGAGTGTGTGTCCATGGTGTGTCCAGGATGCAGCCGCATGTGGTCCACTGTGGAGGCACGTGTGGTTTTCCAGCTAACCGCGTTCCGCTAGCCGCTGAGCCACTGCGCCGCTGATCCGCTGAGCCCCTTGGCCCGTTTCCTCCTGCTGCTGCTTATGGTATTAAAACTAAACTGTTTCCACCTACCCGCAAAAAGGACGACAACTGGCGCAGTTTGACTTCTGCAGTCACACACACACACACTTGCACACACACGCACAACAACTGGCCAAATCTTTTGCCTGGCTGCAGCGCAGACTCGCTGCGTGCTGCGTTTTTGGCCACCACCCGCGGCTTTTGTTGGCTTAGACGCAGCTCTCAATCTGCATCTCTCTCTTTGACTGACTTGCCCTGCTCTGCCCTGCCCTGCCCACCCACTCGCCGTGTGATCTGTGCCCATCCTCCGGCCCGACTTATCAATTGCGGCCATCTGAGCTGGAATTGTTGCTGCTGCTGCTGCTGCTGATTCAACACTTCGGTAGCGCAATCTTCATTTCCGCCTTTGGCTCAGCTGCACATTTTGTTGATGGCATTTCCATTGGCCATGTGATTCATGCGCCACTTTGGCCAAGTGCTGCAGCCAAATCATAAACGCGTTAAATAGTCGTCACTCCGGCTCAAGAGTTTTGCTTTAAGTTTTTTTCTCCCGCTCACAGTCTCCTTCGCTTTGACTCATCCCAGCGACTTTCTAAGCAGCGGCCTTCGCATAAATCTCATCTCTTGGCAGCGCGACGACAATATTTGGCAACAGGTTAACAGGTTTCAATTGCCCCGCTTAAAGGTGCGTCGCCGCGATTGCGACTGCGACTGCGACTGCGACTCACACCTGAAGCGACCAAGTTGTCTAACTCATTAGATGTCATTTGCTGATAAATGCTGCCGATACCCTAACCCAGTCGCGTCTCTTAACTTTGTGAGACTGTTTGATGAAGCAAGAGACATCTTAGATTAGAGATTTCTTCCTTTATCTATAATGTTTGTGAGTGTGAATAGTCGATCTCAGCAAGTGGTAGCTGGTTCAAACTGCCTGTAGGTCGCCAATATTACATAATTACTTAATTAGTTATCTAATAACACGAATTAGATAATTAGTTAACCAATTAGTTAAATAGTTAGTTAAGTAATTGTTAAGCAAAACTTGTGTTTTTTTTTATAACAAATTTTCTACATTCCCAATGTAGTTTGATGCTCCTTAAAACTTAAAAAATTCTCTAAGTTTATTTTAGACTCAAATAAACAGAAAGTTTTTTAATTTTTGAAGCAGATCTAACATATATATCAAATGGTTCTTGGCTATGAATGTTATCAAATTTAAATAGGTTTTCTTTAAATATATCAAAACGTCTTAAAAAATATAGAAATATAAATAATATTATAAGAATTACAAAGTAAAATCACTTTTACTAGCTACCTTTTAATTTTTCTTCACTTTAGAAAAACAGTTTTCTATTTTTTATCAATTATTTATAACGATCGAAACGTTATTGCACGTTTGTACATATTTATTTACATAAATATATATAAAATATTTAAATTTTAAAGTAATATACATTTAAACACACCTAGTTTTCACTTTAAAAGCTCAGTTTTCTTACTCCTTCCCGTTTCTTTTTTCTGTATATTAATCAAAAACAATTGTAGGTAATATACCTATTGCTGTCTGACACGACCTGATTTGTAGAGCATCCGGCATTCGTTATTGTCTGGACGCTCATTAATTCCATTTAATTTATACGTAATATCTGACAGAGGCAAACTCGGAGGCTGAGACACGTCCGGACCGGCGGCTGGCAGTCATAGCCCAGGGCCCATAGTGGATGATGAGATAGCATCTGGGCGACGTATTGGAATGCTCCACCTTGTTGTCAACACGTAGCATCGCATAATTTTACTTTTACTGTTAAGAGACGACGCGTTCGTCTGTCTGTCTGTCGGCCGTCATTGTTGGACTGGGAGCCGCTCCTGTGCCGCTGTGGGCTGCAATTAAAAAAGCGCAACTACCACAAAATGTACAGAGCCAAATCCAAACAGATGCGAGAGACACCAGCCAGTGGGCAACCGGCAACCGGCAACTGGCAACTGGCAACTGGCAACCGGCAACTGG